TCTGGAAGTCTCAGCAACAACCTTATTTAGGTCATCAGCAAAGATTTCTATAATCATAATATTCAAGGAAGAAAAACTGATATAATACAGGACTTTATTTCCTTGTTTTGAAACAATGAAATAGGGATAGCATCTCAGAACAGAAAACTATGAAACTGAAAAATGAAGTAGAACTCTTTAGCTAAATGGTAGGATTTTGAATAAAATTAGGTGCTACAATTTCTCACTGTCTCTAAAGAAGGAATACAATCAACAAGAAGCCTTCTCACCTTCCAAGGATGCATTCAACCATATTTCAAACCTCTTTTGAGCCTTTTCCAAATCTCCTCCCTTATATTGCCAATAATTATTTTTTCCCCCACAAACTGTGGGGATTTCTTTCTTCCTTAAATCTCCTGGTAACTGAGATGACCACAGCCACTCCTGTTGTCTAGACAAAAGCTTCTATTATCTTTGGTTCATATTTTAGCAATGCAAGGGGCCTCAATGACACAGCGAATTACCCAACCAGCATATGGTAGAATGAGGCTTCAGTTAGGGGTTACTACCAATACCCTCTGGATCAGCCAGGATTGGAATGCCCTTTCAAATACAGCTATGGACTTCAATTCAAGTTGATATCCCCAAATAGCATACATGGCTTAAAAGTTTCTTCTAAGATACTCAGCTGTGCTATATAGCTAGAGCTTTGAAGAGGAGGGCAAGTCAGACTGACATTTTTTTTTTTTTCTTTTGAAATGGAATCTTGCTCTGTGGCCAGGCTGGAGTGCAGTGGCACAATCTTGGCTCACTGCAGCCTCTGCCTCATGGGTTCAAGCGATTCTCCTGCCTCAGCCTCCCAAGTAGCTGGGACTACAGGCGTGTGCCACCACACCCAGCTAATTTTCATATTTTTAGTAGAGACAGGGTTTCACCATGTTGGCCAGGCTGGTCTAGATCTCTTGACCTTGTGATCGCCCACCTCAGCCTCCCAAAGTGCTGGGATTATAAGTGTGAGCCACAACTCCCGGCCCAGATTGACATTTTCTTTTTTTTTTTTTTTTTGAGACGGAGTTTCGCTCCTGTTACCCAGACTGGAGTGCAATGGCGCGATCTCGGCTCACCGCAACCTCCGCCTCCTGGGTTCAGGCAATTCTCCTGCCTCAGCCTCCTGAGTAGCTGGGATTACAGGCACGCGCCACCATGCCCAGCTAATTTTTTGTAGTTTTAGTAGAGACGGGGTTTCACCATGTTGACCAGGATGGTCTTGATCTCTTGACCTCGTGATCCACCCGCCTCGGCCTCCCAAAGTGCTGGGATTACAGGCGTGAGCCACTGCGCCCGGCCCAGATTGACATTTTCTAAGGCAAATTCTGTAGTATAAAGAAGGAAGACTTTGGCCAAACCCCTCATTTTAGCATACTTTGCCAAAATCTTTTCTTCTGGCCTTCAAAAAAGCTGGCATAATATGAAGTAGAGAACCTTAAAAGACAACCTGTTAAACACAGATCATTCAAAACACACGCTATGTGGTTTTTTTTTCTTTAGGAAGATGAGGAAATATAAATATATATTTTTAAAGCCCTTTACAAACTTTAGGTTCTCATCACAACTGTTGGGAAATACGAACATGTGATATCTTTTCTCTTCTCTGACTGAGCAAAGATGGAAAAGACAGAAACTGTTTCCCCGGCAACCGCAAGCCACCAAGGACTTTTTAGGATCACAAAGGGAAAAATGATCAGTCTAGCAGCTTTTGATTTTATGATAAGGTTCTGTCCAATTAAATAGTTTCAGTTTGAGACTCAATATTGGTTACTGCTAAAATCAGACAGAGGTATGATCACATCCAGTGACCACTGCTCTCCCTAGAAAAATGAGTAAAAATGTAACAAGCTACTTGAGTCCACAAGATGAAACACACCATGGCTGATACTGCTGTTTGCTTACTTTGCAATCAACTTCCTGCCCCTGCTCTACCAATAACTACTTCCTCACCAACAGAATATTGAGTTTTTCTTTTATAGAATATGTACCAAGTGGCCCTATGCTTCAGGAGAAGGTGAGCACCTCCCCAGTCCCAGGGGTAAACAATGATTGAGTCTGAATCCCTTCTAATAAACAGCGTTGCATGGAACAACTTACAACGAGAAGGTAGCCCATGAAGATTCTTGTTAACAAAAAATTAGGCTGAGATTAAACACCAGTGCAAATAACAAAAGAGAAAATGCAGTCATCTCATCTATCGAATTACCTCCAAAGGCAGTGCCTTTCCATGTGCGACCTGTTACCAGCTGGAACGGGCGAGTGGCAATTTCTTCACCTGAGGCAGCTACTCCAACCACCACGCTGACACCCCAGCCCTTGTGACACGCCTCAAGTGCTGCTCTCTGCAGGCACAGAGATATGACCAAATTACAGAAGTCGGTGCATTTTCCTGAGAATAACTGCTTCTCCAGAAACTTCAAGTGATGTCAGAGTTTTTAGACAAAATGGCAACAAAAGGCCAAACTTAACATTTAGTGAGCTCAATTTTATTGAACAATTTTCATTTTTATTTACTTTTTGGTTTTTTTTTAGAGATAGGGTCTCCCTCTGCCACCCAGGCTGAAGTGCAGCGGCATGATCTCGGCTCATGGCAACCTCTGCCTCCCGGGTTCAAGCGATTCTCCTGCCTTAGCCTCCCTAGCAGCTGGGATTACAGGTGTGTGCCACAACACTAAGCTAATTTTCATATTTCTAGCAGAGACTGGGTTTTGCCATGTTGCCCAGGCTGGTCTCGAACTCCTGGCCTCAATTGATCCACCTGCCTCGGCCTCCCAAAGTACTGGGATTACAGGTGTGAGCCACCACACCCAGCCTGAACAATTTATTTTAACAAATTAACCTGGTTAAATATTAACATAAATTAAAATAGTGGTTATTTGCTTTCTATTTTAAAAAGTAAACTGTAGTTCAAAACTCGAAAGGATTTGATTTTAAAAAGCAGGCAGCAAAACTATGAGTAATACTTGTATTGAGTGTCTATGTAGGTATGTTTAAGTAGGTGTTGTTGCTACAGGTTGATTATCTTTTATCTGAAATGCTTGGGAACAGAAGTGTTTTGAATCTTGGATTTTTTCGGATTTGGAATATTTGCATTGTATTTATTGGCTGGACATTCCTAATCTGAAAAGCTCCAGTGAGCATTTGCTTTGAGCATCACGTTGGTGCTCAAAGTTTCAGATTTTGGAGCATTTTGGATTTTGGATTTTTGGATTAGGGACAGATATTCAACCTGTACCTGCATTTTACAGATGAGGAAACTGAGGTTGAGAGAAGCTGTTTGTTCAGGGTCACTGAGTTAGTAAATGGATGTATATTTGATTCCAAAGCCCATACTCTGCACAACTGCTTTATTCTGTCTTTTCATTTCATGAGACATGCACTTAGCAGGCATTGAAAGGCAAAGAAACATCTTTTCTCATCTTTCCCTGAGCTGTTCTTGTACCATTTCCCACTGTGGTTCAAACAGATATTTTTCACCTTCTTCCAATACAATACTTCTTATCAAGAGATTTTTCCTTTGCCAAAACAAAACAATTTTTAATCTTAAACTGCATTTCAAAAAAAGTTCCATAAAACAAAAAAGGAATGAAGCCCATACTCACCATGACCTTCACATTACCAATACATTCAAAGGAATAGTCCACTCCTCCATCAGTCATCTCAATGAGCACTTCCTGGATAGGTTTACTAAAATCCTGAGGGTTAATACATTCAGTGGCTCCAAACTCTTTGGCCCTTGCAAATTTATCTTTATTGATGTCCACACCAATGATCCGGGATGCACCAGCCACTTTACAGCCCATGATAACTGCCAATCCAACTGCTCCCAGGCCAAAGACGGCACAAACAGAGCCAGGCTCAACCTAGGAGTAAAGACAGTTTATAAAGCACTCATTCTACCAGAGTCAAGAGAATCACTGGGTTTCATACAGATGCGCCAATTTCACTTATTCCAGGAAAGTTTCACTGAATTAAATTAGAAGGCAGAAGTGAAAACTCAAGTCAGTTTCTTACCTTGGCAGTGTTCACAGCAGCACCGTAACCAGTTGAAATGCCACAACCTAGAAGGCAGACTTTATCCAAAGGTGCTAAAGGATCTATTTTAGCAACAGAGATATCAGCCACAACTGTGTATTCAGAAAATGTGCTGGTTCCCATGTAATGTAAAATTGTCTTTCCTTTGCAAGTAAATCTGCTGGTACCATCTGGCATTAATCCTTTCCCTTGAGTGACTCTAAAGAAAATAAGAAAGGAAAAAGGCAAGTTGGAATTAGGTTTCTTAAAATCCTTAGAAAAAAGAAATCAGTTTTAATAACCAGTAAATATTCAGAAAGTGTTCTAAACCAAAATTTTGAATGTATTCATTAATAATTTAGCACCTTGCAGCAATGCCTTATGAAGGAAATTTATAAGAAGTTTATAATCTTATCCATCTTTTCCAATATTCACTATCCTTCTAGATCTTACTGTCAGAATATTGAACTCACTTTAACAGGTACAACTTCTGGATCAATGAAATTATTTTAAAATTCCATCATTAAAATGGTGGGCCGGGTGCAGTGGCTCACTCCTGTAATACCAGCACTTTGGGAGTTGAAACAGGAAGGCTCCTTGAACCCAGGAGTTCAAAAGTAGCCTGGGCAACATAGCAACACCGTATCTCTAAAAAAAATAAAATTAGCCAGGTGTGGTGGAGCAAGTGCCTGCAGTCCCAGCTACTCAGGAAGCTAAGGCAGGAGGTTCACTTCAGCCCAGGAGTTTGAGGTTGCAGTGAGCCATGACTTTGCCCCTACATTCTAGCATGGGTGACAGAATGAGACCCTTTCTCAAAAATAAAAAAAAACTTCTGTGGGCAAATATAACTTCATAAAGGATAAGGCCAAAACCAGTATCCATGCAAATAGAGATTACAAACCATTAACCAGATCAGCTGATGAAAACAGATGGCCAAACTGGCTAATTTAGATCTTTTAGGAAGCATTTTTTTTTTTAAGTATAACTAACAGTCCTCAAGAATGCAAGTTAAATTACCGCTTCACTTTGTTTTGCCTGTGTACTTGGTTACAGCAATAGGAAAGAAAACCCAAAAAGGTCACGAAGGCCATTTATACCATAGCTGGTAACAAAAATTACTTTTGCTCTTCTAAACAGAGGTGCTATAACATCTTGCTTAGCAGTACCCACCCTAAAGTTGGAGCACTTGGGTTCAAATCCTGTGTGACCTGAGCAAGTTAACCTTTATGTCTTCGTTTTCTCACTAGAAAATGCTGAGAAACAATGGTAACTTCCTTTAAGATTGCTAGAGAAGTCAAATGAGATGTTATATGAGGCTTTAGCGTTGTGTCTGGCACAGAATTGATGTTTAGTAATTATGTTATTTTTAATAAAATAAACACTATAATTGTTTTTTTTTTCTTTTTTTTTCAGACAGCCTAGACTGCAGTGCATAGCTCACCACAGCCTTGAACACTGAGGCAGGAGGATTCCTTGAGCTCAGGCGATCCTCCTGCATCAGAGTGCCATGTAGCTGGAATTACAGGGGCGTAGAGACGGGGTCTCGCTATGTTGCCCAGGCTGAACACTATAATTTGATGTATACTCTTAAGCTCTTTGGAACATACATATGAATAAATACAAAGACGAAGAGAAAATGGACTGCCTCTAGATTCAAAGCAAATACGTTTCCTTTGAGAGAAAAACAAAAATATGACCAGAAACAGAGAAGAACAGGTGACAAAGCTCCATCAGAAAGAATTTTTCTTTTTTGAGACAGGGTTTTACTCTGTTGCCCAGGTTGGAATGCAGTGGCAAATCATGGCTCATTGCAACCTTGGCCTCCAGGGCTCGTGATCCTCCCATCAAAGCCACTGAGTAGCTGGGAACACAGGCACGTGCCACCAAGCCTGGCTAACTTTTTACATTTTTTATGGAGACAGGGTTTCACCAATGTATGTAGGGTGCTCTCTAACTGCTGGACTCACGTGAACTGCCTGCCTCGGCCTCCCAAAGGGCTGGGATTATAGGTGTGATCCACTGCACCTGACTAAAAATAACTTATATCTTACTGAGAACAATGTAAGTTTGTTTAGCCCTCCTTAATGTGAGAATTCACTGTATTCCAGAGGAATTTCTTAAATAAAAGGTGATGTGGAATATATTTTATGCTTTGAAAGAATCACAAAAAGCTCATCACCATTATTATATTTGATGTGTTGCAAAATTTTTAAGACCGTGTTTAAATTCTCTTTCAAAGTGTTGAGGTATTTTTTTCTTTGGTTCTAGTTTTACCAAAGTCATTGGATTTGATTTATAAAATAAATGGAGTTTTGTTTTCAAAAAATATAAACTGATTTTGTCAATGGCATTAGAAACAAATCGATCTCCCATACAACGCTGGTGCAAGTGTAAACTGGTACGAGTACACCAAAGAGCTGTAGATGCACATCCTCTGACTCGGCAACTATAATCTCAGGAAAATGCTCAAGAGAAAGCAATGCTATATCCATCCAAAGACATGTATAAATAAGAATGTTCCTAGCAGCATAAACTGTGTAACTGCCCCAAACTGGGAGTAAGCTAAATATCCATCAACAGGAGAATGGATCAATACTGGTATTTTGAATGGAATATGACAGAGCAACAGAAAAGAACTACTGATGCATATGCAACTTGGATATATCTCACAGGCATTATGAAAGAAAGAAACCTAATGAGCCGGGCACGGTGGCTCAAGCCTGTAATCCCAGCACTTTGGGAGGCCGAGGCGGGTGGATCACAAGGTCAAGAGATCGAGACCATCCTGGTCAACATGGTGAAACCCCGTCTCTACTAAAGCTACAAAAAATTAGCTGGGCATGGTGGCGCGTGCCTGTAATCCCAGCGACTCAGGAGGCGGAGGCAGGAGAATTGCCTGAACCCAGGAGGCGGAGGTTGTGGTGAGCCGAGATCACGCCATTGCACTCCAGCCTGGGTAACAAGAGCGAAACTCCGTCTCAAAAAAAAAAAAAAAAAAAAAAAAAAAGAAACCTAATGAAAGAGCACACACTGCATGACTCTGTTTATACAAAGGCCATAGTGAAAGGAATCAGGATAGCGGTTACCTAGGAGGGAGGTTCTCACTTGGGACTTGAGGGACCTTGTCGGGTGCTGGCAGGGTTCTCTATCTTGATCTGGGTGACAGTTCAAACCATCAGGTGTGTATATACGTAATCATTCATTGAGCTGTACACTTAAGATCTATAAACTTTAAGTGCTTTATAATATGCATGACTCTACCTCAATTAAAAAAAAAAATAGAACACATACAGGGGGATCTTAAATTTCCTCAACAAGGTAGTTCTTTCAGTGTTGTTACCTACTACAATAAAAATAAGTACCTTTTCTGTGTCAAGGAGTTAGGTTATCTCCTGCAGTCTTCCCAATAGCTTTAGTGAGTAAGTTTTATCACTCTTCTCACTTAAAGGACAGTAAAATGGTTCATAAAAACGATTTTGTGTTGGGCATGGTGGCTCATGCCTGGAATCCCAGCACTTTGGGAAGCCAAGGAGGGCAGATCACAAAGTCAAGAGATGGAGACCATCCTGGTCAACATGGTGAAACCCGTCTCTATTAAAAATACAAACATTAGCTGGGCATGGTGGCGCATGCCTGTAGTCCCAGTTACTTGGGAGGTGGAGGCCAGAGAATCTCGGACTAGGAAGGCAGAGGTTGTAGTGAGCTGAAATCGTGCCACTGCACTCTAGCCTGGGCAACAGAGCGAGACTACGTTTAAAAAAAAAAAAAGATTTACATGAATTGTATGAGCATGTCTTTCCTTACTACATATTTTGACAAATTTAGCCTAGTGTTATGTGAAGAGAATGGGTACTGAAAATTCTGTTTTGTATCTTAATGGCCGGTGATACTGGGCAAATCCCTTAGTTTCTCTTTTTCTGTAAGAAAAGTCAATATATTTATGGTTTTCTTTATAAGTTACTATAATACAATGGTACATAATATTGAATTCACAAAAATATAAACAAATATTTACAGCATGACACACTCACAACGGAAACATTGCTTCAAAACAAGTTATATCCAGATGACAGAGTATATACATACAAACATCCCTAAAACTTATCGGTTCTCTTCTTTGCAGTGGGACCGAGGGAGAGAAAAGAAAAAAAAATAGTAGACACCCTGAACCCTTCAAAAGGAGAGACTTGTTCAATTAAAAATAAAGGAGTTGAAAGAAAAATGAGCCAACAAATTCCCAGATTACGACAAACCATTCCAGGGGTGGGATGGGGGATCCTGGGGAGAGGGGGGTCCAGGGTCCAGTTGCCTTTGTGAAGACCAACCAAGGTTAACACAGGGCACAAAGGCTGGGGAAGGTGAGGCCAGGGTGAGGGGTAAGGTGAAGTCACTCCCCTGGTCTCTTCACATCCCCCCACTTCTTCCTTTTATGGGGTAGAGAGGAATCAGAATGCAGACACTCCTTAGGGGTTGCACAAGTTACTTAAATCAGTCACCTCTACAAGCTACGTATTTCCTCATGTGAAAAATAAATGTTTCTTTCTTCAGTTGCACAATTAGGCAGAAAACTACAAATGGTAGAGAAGGTTGTTGCTGTGCCTAGGTACTCTGTGTCAAAACCTCTTAATTTCGGAGTCTTAATTCTCTCAGCTGTGAAACTGGGGCTAGTAATGAGGTTGCTATAAAGATGGAATGAAACCACTCACGTACAATGTACTGTGTAAACTGCCACACCATTATTTATTCTTGTCATTGCTAATATGACCTTGTGTTTCAAGAAGAACATAAAAAGATACTAACCTTATCTTCTGGCAAAGGTTAGTTTTAGGATTTAGACAAAATTTGCATTCTCCACACTGTGGGATGTAAAGTGGGATGACAGTATCACCTGGAAATAAATGCAAAGACATCCTGAATAGGTAGTATCTATTTCTAAATGAAAACATCAGCTCTTGCAAACTCCTGTCAACTGATGTGACTTTGCAAAGCTAACTTCAAGTCTTAGAACTTCACCTAGGTAACATCATTAAGATACTGCCTGATCATGCAAAAAGTATGTTTCAAAATTTTTATCTAAATGAAACTCTTTAAACAATAACTGAAGAACAAGGTAGTTACATGCTTCAAAATCCTGCTTCATTGATGCATCTCTAAAATTTCTTGCTTGATATGCCAAAATTGGTTTTGGAAATGTACTTAAACAGTTTCACACAAACAGTAGTCTGCAAAACCACAGAGAAAAAAATATCCAAATATTTGTGCTTCCCAGATGAGGAATAAACTCAATCTTGACAATCTACTTAGATGATGCCTTTTCATGAATAGTGTGCAGTTTTATCAGATAAACAATTTCCCTGTAGGAATAAGCCAAAATCATCAAACAAGTGGTTCAAATATTATCCTTACCCGCCTTCAGCTTAGTCACTCCCTCGCCAACACTTTCCACAATTCCAGCACCTTCATGTCCCAAGATCACTGGAAAACAACCCTCAGGATCAGCTCCGCTCAGAGTATAGGCATCGGTGTGGCAAACTGCAGTGGCAATGATCTATCAGGACATTAAAACAAAGAGCATTTAAGTGTGTGTGCATGCAATTCAGAGTAAGGTACAGATGAAAGAAGAGTCATTTTATTTTAATACTATATTTCACTGACCGTAGACATATTTCTTTTGTATTTTAACTTCTGTAAAATCAGATGTGCTTATAATCCATGGCATCTTAACAATTAGGATTGGCAGCAATTTTTTAGCAGTACATAAAAGCAATGGTGTATTTATATGCAAAGGAATAGGGAACATTTGGTTCTTCTTTCTGTGTATGTTAGAAAGGGAAGGTAAACAAGGTCATTTTATGGGCACTATGCCTTCAGGTACGGAGAGGAACATCACCTGTGTGTAAAACAGGTGGAACCCACCTAACTGCTAGTTTTCTCACGACAGCTGGGAAATATAATTTTTAAAGCAGTATTGATAATTTCTGAAATATGCCAGTCTGCTGAGTCTGGGACAAAATTCAGAACTTTTAGAGGAACCAATTCCGTTTTTACGAACCACATACAAGTTCTATTTAAATAAGCCTGTTATCTCTATCTCTCTGGCTTTCAAGTAAGTTACTTTTTTTTTTTTTTTTTTTTTTTTTTGAGACAGAGTCTTGCTCTATTGCCTAGGCTGGAGTGCAGTGGTGCAATTTCGGCTCACTACAACCTCCACCTCCTGGGTTCAAGTGATTCTCCTGCCTCAGCCTCTCTAGTAGCTGGAATTACAGGTGTGCACCACCATGCTCAGCTAATTTTTTGTATTTTTAGTAGAGGCAGGGTTTCATCACGCTGGCTAGGCTGGTCTTGAACTCCTGACCTTGTGATCCACGCACCTCAGCCTCCCAAAGTGTGGGAATTACAGGCGTGAGCCACTGCTGGCCATAACTTATCTTTTAAAGCCACCAAAAGTAACGAAAGGCAAAATCTTGGAGTGTTTCTATTTATGCTTCTCTGCTCCTGGCTTACATATCCACTTACAATGTAACAATCTTTGCTACCCCTCGGCAGTTTTGCAGGGAAGATGGCTGTACTCATTGTGTCCATACAGCTCAATGAGCACAATGAATACCCATTGACCTGTATGGGCACTTAATACATCCAGGACAAACATCTTCAGTGGCAAAATCACAATTAGCTTAATTTCTGAATTCGAAGAAAAAAAAATATATATAAGATTTCAGATTCCTGGGTATGGGTTGCGAAGGACCTTAAGATATTATTTGGGCTGGATGCAGTGGCTCACTTGAGGTCAGGAGTTTAAGACCATCCTGGCCAACATGGTGAAACCCTATCTCTGCTAAAAATACAAAATTTGCCAGCCATTGTGGTGCAAGTGCTACTTAGCAGGCTGAGGCAGGAAAATTGCTTGAAACTGGGAGGCAGAGATTGCAGTAAGCTGAGATCGTGCCACTGCACTCCAGCCTGGGAGACACAGCGAGACTCTGTCTCAAAAAAGAAAAAAAGATGTTATTTGGTCTTGGTCCACTCCATCTGGTATGTGCAATCTTTGGGAGCATGAGCCAGTATGTGTGGTGTGTTTCGAAAGTGAGATGGTAGGGGAACTAGACTCTAAGTCACAGCTCTTTTTTGCTGTGACTCTTTTCCTAGAATGTTAATAATCACTACTTTAAAGCACTAATTTTATATCAAAACAAGTAGAGAGTAGAATGCTAAAAAAAAAGTTTTATAAATGCCAGGGTTTCAAAGATCTCTGCAGCTGGCTGCCTTGTACAATATGCCTCTCTCCAGGGGTAATGTCATTTCTCTGCCACCAGAAAAGTTGAGAATCACCAGAATAATGAATTCCCTGAACCCTACCCTTGTCTGCCAGGGTGGGGGCATTTTTAAAGCTCTCTAAGCAAGCTGACTTCACTTGCTTGTTGCTCTATTCAATCAGGAGCCTCTTCCAAAATCTTGTTTAAGTCATTGTAGCAAAACTGAAGACCATTTCTGTCAGAGGCATTTGAACCAGAGCAACTCCATCTTGAATAGGGGCTGGGTAAAATAAGGCTGAGGCCTACTTATTTTAGGATGCTAGGCATTCTTAGTCACAGAATGAGATAGGAGGTCAGCATAAGATACAGGTCACAAAGACTCTGCTAAAACAGGCTGTGGTAAAGAAGTCAGCCAAAACCCATCAAAACCCATCAAAACCAAGACCGCAATGGAAGCGACCTCTGGTCATGCTCACTTCTCATTATATGCTAATTATAATGCATTTATATGCCAAAAGGCAGTCTCACCAGTGCCATGAGTTTACAAATGCCATGGCAATGTCACAAAGCTACTCTATATGGTCTAAAGGGGGGAGGACTCCTTAGTTCTGGAGATTGCCCACCCCTTTCTTAGAAAACTCATGAATAATCCGCCCTTTGTTTAGCATATAATCAAGAAATAAGTATACTCCGTTGAGCAGCCCATACTGCTGTTCCGTCTATGGAGTAGCCATTCTTTTGTTTCTTTGCTTCTCTAATAAACTTGCTTTCACTTTACGGACTTCAAATTCTTTCTTGCGTGAGGTACAAAAATCCTCTCTGGGGTCAGAATAAGAACCCCTTTCTGATAACATTTCTTCTTTTGTTTCTAACGTGCCACCATAAAGTTATGTAATCAGCAGGAAAATGGGCATCCTACAGAGTTACCTTAAACCCAAACTGCAGAAGATAAATTGCAATAATCCAGTGACCCACGAGGATGGCTCCTCAGCCCAAGATCAAAGCTAAAATGATGGAGAGGTGTGCTGCAAAGGTGAGGAATAAGAGAAGAATGTTGTGATTATAAGGCTGGATGACTTTGAATACCCTTTTCTTTGATACTGTCCTTTGGGATTTATCCTCTGCAGATCTCAGATCTACGCATCTATTCAGAGATCTAATTGTGTCTCTTTTTTTCCAGTGCCTGAAACGTATCATTACCTTGATTCGAACTTCATGAGCCTTTGGGGGTGCCACCTCTATCTCCTCTATGGAGAGAGGCTTTCCAGCCTCCCAGGCAAC